CGAGGCGCTATACGGGCGTCCGTGCAGGTCACCGATTTGTTGGGAGGAAGTGGGCGATAGAAGATTGTTTGGCCCGGATTTGGTGGAAGAAACCACGTCCAAGATAGTTAAGATCAAGAAGAACATCCAGACAGCTCAGAGTAGGCAGAAGAGCTATGCTGATACCCGAAGGAGGGACCTGGCCTTTGAGAAAGGTGACCGGGTGTTTCTTAAGGTCACCCCCTTCAAGGGAATTAGTAGGTTCGGCAGAAGGGAAAAATTAAACCCCAGATACATTGGACCCTTTGAAATCTTAGACAAGATTGGTACCACTGCCTACAGACTTGCACTGCCCCCTGAGCTCTCCCGGGTTCACAATGTGTTTCATGTATCTATGCTGCGCAAGTACAATCCGGACCCTTCTCATGTCGTGGCTCATGAACCGCTCTCACTCCGAGAGGACTTGTCTTATGAAGAAGTACCGGTCAGTATCACGGACCGAGAAAGCAGAATACTCCGTAACCGGGAAATATCATTTGTAAAAGTCTTGTGGCAGAACCACACGCCTAGGGAGGCGACTTGGGAGCTGGAATCAGAATTTAGGGCCCAATATCCTCATTTGTTTGATCAAGAGTAATGAGGCAAATTTGGGGACCAAATTTCTTTATGGGGGGGAGAGTTGTAGCACCCGGAAAGGAGGAAAAAAAAAAAAAAAAGGGGGGGCCACGTCAGCAGCCACGTCAGCAGGCCCGGTCAGCAGTCCCGGCCAACCGGGGCCTGCCACGTGGCAAGACCGCGTCACTCCGAAAGGAGCCACGTTAGCGATCCGCGTGGGTGCGATCCGACGGCCCAGATCAATCGCACGATCGGACGGCCCAGATTCAATCGCACGGACGGCCCAGATTCAATCAAAAATGAACGGCCCAGATTAAAACGAAATGAACGGCTGTGATCAAAAGGCAAGGGGTTATAAATAGAACCCCCACACCAGACCACAAACCCTAGCCGCCCGCCGCTCGCCGGAGAAGACGAACCAGAGGCCGACCGCCGCCACCCGCCGCCGCACCGGGGAAATTTCCGACCGCCGATCGAGGTAAATTTCATACCCCCGACTCGTTTTTCTCCGCTGATTCCTCCTATGGCCAAATTGAGGCCGAAATCCCGGCCAAACGGCCGGAATACGCGGCCGAAACCCAGCGGCGCCGCCGCGCCCCTCTCGGTTTTTGCCTCCGACGAGGTCCTTCCCGGCCTCCATTCGATGCAATTTTTATATCACCGTGATCACCATTCTTTTCTCTACAGGTTGACCGAAGCCGAATCACCAAAACACAAACCTCGCCGGAGAGCCGCCGTACCCGAGAGCGCCGCCGCCGGTAAGCTCCGCTTTTCCGTGATTTTTGGCCCCCCCGGGGGCCCTAGGGTTGTTTTCTGACAAGGACCAATGCGAGTGTGGCCGAATTCGGCCGAAAACAGCCAACCCGAGGCGACTCGCCGCCGCCAGCGGCGGCGCCGTCGCCGGAGCACGGCGGAGCCGCCGTGCCGGAGTTGCGATTTGGTCCGAAAGGGGCTCTGGGCCTAATTTGGATTTTTTTTGGAACACGTGCAGGTACTGTTAGTGTGTTTCAGTTCCCCGGGAAAAATTCAGGGAAAATTAGGGACGGCCTGCAGGCGCACTGTGAATCGTATTCGGATCCCGAAAACAAGTAAGGACCCCTCACCCTATTTCCTATCACGGTATTAAAGTTCAAAATGATAAAACGGTATTTCTTGAATTAACGCATGTGTGAAATTGCTTAAGGTTGCTAATGGAACCCGAGTCTAGTGTGATTGATGATTTACTGTTATTTGGCATGTTTTACACTGTTTTACAGCTTTAAATGCATTATGGGGTTTGATGTGTTCATTTTATAGTTTCGAATGCATATATTACTGTTTTATTAATTATGGGTTGAATGACTGAAGAATTGATACTGTATGTTGTCTGTTCGGCATGAATTACGATTTGCTTGTTTAAATGTGAATTGATGATGCTTATTGAGGAAAAAGGGAAATGAAACATTGTATAGACTGATAATTGTATGATGGGGTCAGCCTGACTAGATATCCTGGGAGATGGTGGACGGACCGGGTCCGTAGGGAACCCTACCGGGATTGTGGTCTCACATGCCGGACGGGGTATGGAGATCTTATGGTTTTGGCGCCCATACCGGACGGGGTATGGGGACGGCCCGTTTCACCCTCATACCGGACGGGGTATTGAGGTTTATGGTTTTGGCGCCCATACCGGACGGGGTATGGGACGGCCCGTTTCACCCTCATACCGGACGGGGTATTGAGGTTTATGGTTTTGGCGCCCATACCGGACGGGGTATGGGGACGGTCCTGGAAACTGATTATGAATGTTAAAGGTTAACGGGTAGCGGAACCCCTATGGACCCCCACGGATACTAGTAGGCTGGTAAATGAGAAAAAGATATGTTGTACAATGATTGAATTACAAGAGGCGTGATAAGTGTTATGTTTTACAGCTTAGATTATTCAATGATTATGATGATGTTATTGTTTTTCTCATATTGTTTTCATAAATTCCACCAAGGTAAGTGGATGGTAAAGGTTTTCATGTTAATAAACGAGTTTGTTGTAAATTATGCTCCATTGGTCTTTTTGTGTTTTTCTACCCACCTTTATCTCCGTGACGGTGAGATATCGTGATGTTCTTACTGGGCTAGTGTAGCTCACTCCTTAATTAACCATTTCAGATCAGGAAGACATGGTTCCCGAGCCCGTTCCGCAGGAGGACGACGAAGGGGATGCCTAGAGACTCTGTAGTCATACGCATAGTTTTATTTTCGAGTTTCTTTCTTAGTTAGTTTAATCTTTTATATTTTAAGTATGTTTTTGGGTTTTTTTCTCATGTAAGGGATGTTAACTGAAATTTTGATCTCGCTTCCGCATTCGATATATTTAAATACTCATTTCATTTTAATATTTCCGGGGCCGTTACACTTTCTTTCCCTACCTGATTTATAGTCAAAGAGAGGAGAGCCCTACACGCCTCTTCTCCCTCTTCCTCCCCGACCAGAGGCGAACAGGCCTCTAGTCAAATTTTTTTTTCCTAACCCAAAACGGTGTCGTTTTGGAATTTTTTAAAAAATTACGTCGTTTTGATCTCTTTTTTTCCCCTTAATTTTTGGGTTATTACATTTCGAATTATAAAAATTTACCTTATATGTAATTTCATTTAGAGTTAAAATGATGATACATTTTTTTCTATTGATATGATGAAATCTTGAATAAATTGTTATAATTTCACATAAAATTGTATACAATCTCAATTATTATTATCTCTAAATAGAATCTACATTTATTATAAGATAAAAATATGTAAATTTGCAAATGAAGTATAAAATGATTTTGATTATTTGTTCTAAATATAACCTAACTCAAAATGTTTGAAATTACTAAAATAAGAAATATGCCCTTTTTGATATATCTAATTCTTCATAAATCCAATTCTCATCTTAATTGTTTTTTAATCAAAACTAACTAAACAAAACTTATACTAAATTAATTTAAATCAGAAACCTTATTGTATGGTTTAGAAAGTTGCACTTCATAAATTTGACAGTTCAACATATTTATCTTTAAATTTAAATTTTCGTCATATTTATCTTCAAACAAATTAAGAATAAGCTTAGAGAAAGCAAGTAACTATTCACATTATAAATATATTCACAATTATGAAACTCGTTGCTCATGATATCATCCTATAAACATTTTTTTTATTATTTAATAACTACTTGTCCCTTTGGTTCTACTAATGTTTATAATAAAAGAGTTGCTTAAAGAATTTTGAGAATAATTTTTAATAAAAATAATTTAATTTAAAGTAAAAAGAATAGAGTATTTTATAAAATTATTAGTTGTAAAAGAATATTTGATATAAAATATAAATATTAATAAGATAGTAATATAAAAATTAATCATTAAAACTATTTAAATAATATTAATTAATTTTGATAATTAAAATTATGTATTTAATTAAATTATTCCATTTATTTTGTCCAATATAAATATCAACTAATCGTCATTAACTAATAATAAAATTATAGTAAATTACAATATTTAAAGAGAACAATTATAATTAATTTGCTAACGACCAAACAGAGAAATGTCTAATATTCTTGTGTCTCGGTCTTCATGAAATCAAGCAATTGTAGTTGAAAAATGACTTGTGATTAGAGATAATTAGTGAATCAACATTTTGATTTGTTAACTTCTAGCAACAATTGTTTCTATTCTTGATGATGCTCATAATTTTGAAGCTCTTCTTTTGAAAATTTTAAATAATTATTATTATTAAATCAATTTATAAAGACAGCTTTTTCAATACTACTTTTCATATTGAGAAATTGAAGAATAAAAATGTGGCTTAAAGAAATAAACAAAGAAGAAGAATTAGTTTAAAAAGTATAAATAAAGGAGAAAATGTTAAAATGAAATAGATAAGCTAAAAGAGACAACTGAAGAAAAAAAAAAAGCATTTAACAGCCAAAGATTGTTTAAGAAATTCCTACTCATCTTGAGCTTTACAAATAGAATTCTTTACTTCAGAGGAAGAGATAACAATTTTAAGTAATGAATCTCGATTGAATTAAATCTAACTCTTGAAACTTTTAATAAAGATCTTTTTATTTACTCTGAATTTCAAGATCAAGTTGGTTTGTTTGATTACAACTATTTTTCGCCATGTTTGGAATTGAGATTTCTTCTTAGCATTTGTCCATTTCAGTGTTCTAACGTTACCATCAACTTCCATTATTTGTGTTTTGTGCTTAGATTTTCTTCTTTGATCTTTATGACTTGTATATGTACTCACATGGACATATATCTAATTTTAATAAATAAAAAATTACTTTTGGAAAAATAAAAAAATACTACAAGATTTTGTTCTTATTAATTATGATAACTTTGAAATCGAAGTCATTTGGACAAATAACATTCCATGCTGTGATGTGAAATTACAATATTTAGGATCAATTTATGACAAAAATGAATCTTCCCACATTTACTTTTTTCTTTTGCTAGCTTTTCAATTACAAGCAAGGATGCATCACCAATAATCAACACAAGAGCAAGTTCCACCTTTGAAATGATGAAACCTATTTCGATCTCTTACAACTATTTCTCTTCTATATATGGTGGAAAGAAGCTTAGTAATTGCATGACAATCCACACAAACCCGAAGGTTTTTTATAATCCGAATAGGGAGATTCGAATTAGAAACCACAAAAGCAAAGGCAATGGCTAGCCTTTCACTATGATAAGAAAGAGCATCTTCTTTTTCCTCCTCTTCTATGTCAAACAACACTTGTTTGGTTCTTGGCTTGTGACCATATTCTTGCAATCTTGTATTGATCTCCTCAAGCTTTCCATAAATCTCTTTTGTGTATGGATGTGTTCTATCTCCGGTGAAAAACTCATGCATGATACCATTAACCTCAACCAAGCTACTTCCAGGCATTTTATCGACCCCCTGATCTTTCATTAATTTCCTTATTCTCTTCACATCTCCCCACCTGTGAATACTTGCATATATATTAGATAGAAGCACATAATTCCCACTCGTCTCTGGCTCCAATCTTAGCAGATGCTTCAATGCCATTTCACCTATCTCTAAATTGCCATGAACCCTGGCTGCCCCCAACAAAGACCTCCATAACACTGCATTGGGCTGCATTGGCATTTTCCTAATCTCTTCCTCCGCCTCCTTAAGCCGTCCTGCTCGACCCAGCAGATCCACAAGGCAACCATAGTGTTCTTGCTTTGGTTCAATCCGATAATACTCTTTAATGGACTCAAATATCCGGCAGCCATCCTCAAGTAGCCCAACATGCGAGCAAGCACGCATTACTACCACAAATGTAATATCGTCAGGGACAAACCCTTCACTTTTCATCTTCTCGTAAAGATGGAGTGCTTTATAACCATAACCATGCATGCCAAACCCACCAATCATTGCATTGTAACACAACGTGTCCTTTTGGGGCATTTTCTCAAACAATTGGTAAGCAAAATCAATAAACCCACATTTCGAATACATGTCAATTAAACCAGTACCAACAAAACGATTCAACTTGAGATTGCACTTCGTAACATAAGCATGAGCCCAAGCACCCTGGCTAAAAGCACCTAAATTAGCACAAGCGCTGATTACAGCCACAAGGGTTAGTTCGTTAGGCTTAACTGGAGATTTTTGCATCTCTTTAAACAGCCATAAAACCTCTATACACCGGTTAGAATCTGAATCTCCACTGTAAATGGCACCAAGAGAAGAAGCAGTAGAAGTTGGGCAACGTGCATAAGCACCTAATATAGAATTCCAAGTGGGTAAATCAGGTTTACTAATTTGACTGAAGAGGTACCTGGCCACTCCTAGTTTTCCACTATTGGCATAGAAATTGATCAAGGAGGCCTGCACAAAGTGGTCATAAGGGGGTTGAAGGAATTTGAGGACATGGGCATGAAGGGCTCGACCATGGTTGAGCCATGGAGGGAAGCCACATGCTTTGAAAAGAGATGGGTAAGTGAAAACATTGGGTTTAAGAGTGTGGTCTTGGTGGGTTAGAATTTTGTTGTAGACAAAAAGGGCTAGACTTGCGTTGTGGGTTGAGGAGGAAATGAAGGTGTTGTAAAGGAAAACTGTTGGATTGGGAATTTGGTTAAAGATGGAGAGAGCATAGGAGAAAGCTAAGGTGGAGGATAAAAGAAGCAGTCTACTAAGAGGGTACGTGTGAATAACAAGAGCATTTGTAATGGCTTGGGCATGAACTTGCTTGAATGAGTGCACCGTGTTGCATTTTTCCAAAAGTTGTAGTGCTTGATGTTTGAAAATTGGGTTTGAAGACACCATCGCCAAGGGAAAAAAAATTTGATAGGAGGGAATGGAACAAGGCCAAGAAAAGAAATTACAGTGCAACCCCATATGATGCATAAAATACCAAGATGGCCGTGTATGGAACATGCCCAATTCAAAAGGTAAGCCCATCTAGATTATGATATAAGATGGGCCATAGTCCAATTATACAATTCGGCTAATACCCATTTCTTATTTTCTTTTTATTATTCATCATTTAGAAATATGAACTTCTGTTTGGTGTATAGAATTGTACTCTAGTCTTTTTTTTTTTTTTTTTTGTTTATATGCCTTTTATTTACAAAAGTTATACAGATTAATTAATAATTAAGAGAATTGAGAGTGACAATGGTGATGAAGTTAGAAAATTATAAAATAATATTTTTAGTGTTTTCTACACAGCTCTCTTGAATTTCAATTACGATAATTTATCGCTAGAATTGTTCAAAGATACAAGAGTTAAAATATCTTCTCAAATACATATAATTCTAAATAACCAAAATTTTAAGGTAAAAAAAGAAAAAGATAGTTAAAAATAGTGTTGTGGTTATTGAAGTAGAGATTTCCTTGTTTAAATTACATTGGGTGCATACCAATCAGTTAAACCTATGTTTTGTTTTTAGTTTTTCTTTGAGATGCTATTGGTGAGATTATAAGAGGAACCCTTTTTCCTTGTAATAATTCATTTTGTCTCGAAGTTGAACAATTGAGATCCCTCTTTCCAATTATGTGCATATGTATAAGGTGATATATACACATGTGTACGTAACAGATCTTATTAACATTAACGGGTACAAACGAATAATGTCCCAAAACCAGCAGCAATTTTTGTGTTTTTTATTTAAAAAAGAAAAACGAGATAGTGAAATGAAATAGAATTCAAGGAGTAAAGACAAAAGGAGTTTGAAACTAAAATAGTAAAAATATCAAGTGGGTTTGCCCATCAACATGTAGCATGTAAGTATTTTAAGTAAAAATTTTCTTTATTGGTTGAAATAAAGTAGAGGCTTATTATTAATTACGGTTAATTTGTGTGTTACATTTTTCTGATGTAAAATATAATAATAGATTATTTAATGATGTAATTATTGTAATTTTATGAGATAAAATTAATTTTAAATTATTATTCCTTTATTAGAAATACATATTGATATGTAATATTATTGTATATGTTGATAAAAATATATTTTTTTATTAATTCTGTATTTATCGATATTAAAAAAAAAAATTTATTAAAAGAAAAACTAGCAAAAGAAGGAAGAGGATTAAGTGATAATAATTGGAGAATAGTTTGAGTGTTGATTTAATTAAAGAAATAATAGAGAAACCAAACAAACCTGAATGGGTTGGACAATTACATCAATCAAAACAAATCTTTCTGGTCTTTTGTCATTATGCATTGTAGGATGTGGATGCCCATTTTGTCACTTTCCTCCTAAATGTAAATACACACACACATATATATACATACACATATACAATAAAGTTTGAATTAAATTTAATGCATGAATCAGTTTAAAAAAAAAAAAAAACAATTAATGCATGCATCCAACCCCATTTTTTTAAAAGCAAAAACTTGAAGAAATAATGTTTCTATGATTTCATAATTTCAAGTTTTTATATATATATTTTAAAAAAAAAAATTAGCAACTCAAATCATGCATAAAAACAAAAAACAAAAACTCCACTTCATGCATGGATAACAAACATTTCTATCAAATTCAATATAATTTCTTCATAGATATTAAATAATAAATTAAACATTTATCACATGTAAATTATGTGATTTAAATTATAAAAGTAAAAGATTTTATATGAAAAATAAAAAATGATGATTTTAGTTTATTTCACAAGAATAAAAACAAATTCATAGGAAATATTAGAAATGTGGAAATAAGTAAATTGTATAAATGAATATTAAAAATAATAATTTTTTTAATTTATGAAAGAACAAAATTATTATTTAAAAAAATTAATAGACTCAATTGTAATTATGTCTAAACACTCAAAAATTTTATGTAATTCTCCTTAATTTTTTTATAATAAACATCATAAAATAAATAATAAAATCAATTATTTTTATAACAATGAATGACTTCATGTCCTGACGTATCAAATATTTTATAAAGTGAATGATTACATAGAAAAAAAAAGACAAAGTACAAAATATATGAGAATAAAAAAAGAGAACACAATTAGAATATGGTACTAATCAAGACCTTATTTAAGTATCAGTAAATTAATTACGATTTACATATTTCATAAAGAAAAATAAAAATAAGTAAAATAATAAATCATTGAACAAACAAACATAAATAAATAAATAAGAATAGATCATAATTTTAAGGAAGTCTAGAGAACTAATATGAATATGGTGAATTTTCCAGCACCCCTCCAATATGTAAGTCCTCTATTTTTATGGCACCTTTCAAGAGAAAAGGATAGATGAAATAAAAAATAGGATTGAAGGGAGAGGGGAAGATAACAATTGAAGTAAACAAATAGTAAGGGTGAGATCAACTCCAAAGATAAGGTGCGGTTACGAAGTAGCTTATTTACATTTATTATCTTAGTTTTCACAATTATAATAATAAATATAAAAATAAATATTTTCTATCGTGAAAGACCAACATTATAATTTTTTACGCACCGAGAGTCTCTCTTTAGGAAAATAAAGGATGGAGTATTAATTTTTTTAAAAAATGAAGATCATAATACCCTCTTGAAATAGACAAAAAAAAAGTGGTAATAAAAAAATATGTTGTAAAATATAAAAATAAAATGAATAAATTATTATGAAACAAAATATATCAAATATAATAAATGAAATTAAAGAAAGTAAGAAGTAAGAATGTTTAAAAATTATTTACATAGTTTTCTTCGAAATCATATTTCAGTTGAATGTCAACTCTTATAATAAGGAGTTCAGTGTCATGAATCATTTCAAGTCTCTATTCTAATTCAAGGTCCTCTTGGAAGGTTTTGATGATGTAATGGCCATTTTTAAATTTTTCACATATGAGCTAGTTATGCGATATTTTAGAATATTGATATGAGTACAAACTTTAAATGATTTATAATCCTACAAGTTTTTTTGTAGTAAATGAATGATTTAATTTTTTAAAAAAATTTAAAATTTTAATCTTGTAGGCGACTTGTCGAGTATCATCTTTACAAGTCACAAACTAGATATAGTTTAGGAAGCGTGCTAGATAATCTGGTTTACATGATCCAAAAATTAATTTTCTATACGGTCAATATTAGTAAGTCAACTCTTGTCTTGCTTTAAAATAAATTTATTTGGCGTGTGATTATGTTTAATTTATAAAATGTTCTATATTTAAGAAAATTACGTAAATAATGAACAAAGAGAAGATGATATAATATCGATGAATGCATAATAATTGTAAGAAGGAAAAAGAAACAACAAACAGCATAATTCAAAAGATTGACGAGATTAAAAAGAAAAAATAAATAAATAAATAAATAAAAGAAGCTTCAAAAATAAATATAAAACTCTATAATTGAGAATTTCATGAATATAGATAAATTTATATCAAAATCAAATTTAAGATTAATCAGACAAAGAAATGTTGTTTAGTAATGACATAAAATGAACACTTTTTCAGTATGAGAGTTCAATCATTTTCATCATCAAACAAGAAAAAAAAAAGAATAACAAAAGGGGTTGAAAACCCTAATTACCATAAAAAGTATTTCTTAGTCTTTTTTTTTTTTTTTTTTTGGTTTCCTCTTCAATAATCTCACATTATCTCTTATAAATATTACTTTTTTGGTCTCTTCTTTATGGGAAAAAGATAAATTAATGATGAAACTCAACTTAAAAGAGAATGACTACTTTATTTTACTTTCTTTTATTTTTTCCTTTTTTCGGTACTTAGACCTAAAGTCTATAACAAGCAAGATTGAAAGCCATTACCCATTCAATGGTAGACTAGAAAAGTCCAAAAAAATTTAAGTGAGATCTCAAAAAAAAAATATTCACTTTAAAATTAAAAGTTATGTGTCAATCAGAGATCTTTAAAATGAAACCATACATATCACGAGTCATACTACAACTTGGTGAAGATAGTAGTTGAGAGTAAAAATAAGAGAATAAATAAGAAATGGATATTTTAATGTTACACGATATGATAATTATATCAAAGAATAGAAAAGTTAACGAGACAAAATCACATAATATTTAATTTTAAAAATAAAAATGAAAAACATGAATATGTTTTTATAAATGATGATTAGGGTAAAAACCTTAAGAAATTCATATGTTCTAATTGAAAATAATAATAATAATAAAAGAAAAAGAAAGTGAAAAGTAAAGACAAATTATTAATGTAAACCAGGAACCAAAAAGATAATGTCGGGGGCACGAATTTATATATAATAAATCCCCCCACCCCCAACCCAGTCAAAAAAAAGAGAGAGACCAAAACGATAATGTTTGGTCTTTTAACACATCACTTTTGTCATAATTTTTTTTTTTCATTAAATTTAAAAAAGTAAAAGTGTAAGTAGCTTTTTGACGAAAATGATGTTACAAATTTTCACGGTATACCACCTATGACTGTGGAAACACTCGAAACGTTTCTTTTTTTAAACCAAGAGAGAAGAAACGTTTTCTTTAACATTACTGAATATTCATGACGTTTCACTTTCGATGTAGATGTTTATGGAGGAAAAACCAAAGATGATTTATTGAGGAGGAAATTCAAGTACCAATTAAGCCCATCTTACTGTACGGACTACTACGATTTACATGGGCCCCACTCAAATATATATATATATTACTTATATTTATATAGCCGGACTTTCCCATGTTTTCCGCCGGGACCCACTCGAAAAACAACTAAATGACAAATTCTTTTTTTTTTTTTTTTTTTTTTTTTTCCTTCTCTCTCAAATGTTTTTCTTTCGGGGTGTTGAAGGTATCAAAATTTGGGGAACAGAAAACTCTTGATGGTTTGCAGAGAAAAAAAAAGCAAATGGAGGAGATGATAAAAGT